TTGTTGTTCTGTAGATATTGTATAATAATTACAAATATATTGAACACAAGATGTTATATCGAAATATTGTATATCACGACAAACACATTGCCTGAGGAGCGAGAGTAAGGCTGAGTGTCTGAGGCAGTGGTGGAGGCTGTGGTGATCTGTTCTTCACCGACAGCTGCTATCAGTGATATACAGATGTTTTACAAAATGCAAAACACTTTTAATTTTTATTGTTTAATATTGAGCTCTGGATAGCCGGGGACTTATGTGATGGCAAAGTGGCGCACATCTGCCTAAACACTGGCATTAAGGGATGAGAATGCATACCGTGTTGGAAGTAATTGGCTTTCCTAACGTACACACAAACCAATGCCATTAACTGTAACTGAGAGAGTCGTTGGCGAGTCGACGACGGAAGTGGCAGTAGATCTCGAAGGTTCGCGATCTCCGAGTTTATCAAATCTCTCCTCAATTTTGACGCGCCTTTCGTCGATTTGATTGAATCGAAACTATAAGTCAAACTAATATTGTTTTGTTTCATTAGTTATATGCAATTAAGAAGAATTTCGTCAATATTTGCCCCAATATATTAGTAAAGAGTATATTGTTTTAAATGTAATTAAATTTAGAAATTAAATAGTGTTACAGATATTAATAATTAGTAATTCTATATTTAGTTGTTTGATAAAATGTTTTATATAAATATATTTGCGTAACAAATGTATAGTAAAGCAAAGTGTTTATTATTAGATATATAATGTAAATAATTGTCTGAACGCTATGTTCTCTAAACGTGACTTCTCTGACGAAATAATCCGTCACTTCATCACGACTTTGGTTGAGAATAGAGTAGAACTTAAATGAATAGTTTAATGCAAACACTAATTCACAACAATCATAAACATTGCGAATAAATACCTACACAATACACCTGCTCTTCGTATGTGTGTATATATTATTGATAGAGAGAGAGAGAGAGAGAGAGAGAGAGAGAGAGAGCTGCTAAAAAGTATTAGTATAAGAATTAATATGAGATAACTGTTAAATTTTTATAGTATTTAAAGTAATAATAAATGAATAGAGAATTGAGTGGATTCGTGATTCAGTGCACCTGCCATACCATACCATACCATAAGATACTACACTATATGATGCCATACAATGTTATTGTATGCAATATTCTCATTGATCGCATGCTATCGTATATTCTGTAATATGTTTCCAGATTTGAGATCAATTCGTGTCGTATAACACGCTTTTATTTGTGTTTTGTTTAATTCATTGAATAATGTTTCGGAAGCTGCACCTGTCGTTCAATCTGCTAATCCATTGCTATTCATGCTTTTCCCACTGATTTTACATCATATATTCAACACAACAATTGCACAAAACAATTGCCACACAATCATTACAAAACACACAAACAATTGCCTTATTATGTTTAAAACAATTTGAGAATTGAATGCAAATTATATTTATGAATAAATTAATAATATTTTGTCATTTTTACTATCGTTTGTAAGATTTATTTTATAACTTTCTTGAAATATATTTCTTTATATTTTTATATGCAATTTATAATAAATACTACATTTACTACATATTACTTAAGTATTTCAATCAATGAATTTTGATTGAAAATTAAAGTAACATAATATAATTCCTAAGATATTGCTTTATAAGCATAGATATTTTCATATCATTTTTAAACAATATCAGTGGTGACTAAAGCTATACAATATACACGCTGTGAAATAAATAGCAAAACTTTAATTTAAATTATAATATGAGAATAGTTGGGAAATTATATTAAAAGCGCTTTAAGATTTCAAACACTATTAAATTAGTAAATAAATTGCTATATTTTCAGCCATAAATGCCATGAAAAGCATTTCTTTAATAAAGCGTATAATTGTTTCTCAGGAAAGGTATGCGAATTGAAAGCAAAACAATTGCCTTATTATGTTTAAAACAATTTGAGAATTGAATGCAAATTATATTTATGAATAAATTAATAATATTTTGTCATTTTTACTATCGTTTGTAAGATTTATTTTATAACTTTCTTGAAATATATTTCTATATTTTTATATGCAATTTATAATAAATACTACATTTACTACATATTACTTAAGTATTTCAATCAATGAATTTTGATTGAAAATTAAAGTATCCTAACATAATATAATTTCTAAGATATTATAAGCATAAATATTTTTATATCATTTTTAAACAATATCAGTGGTGACTAAAGCTATACAATATACATGCTGTGAAATAAATAGCAAAACTTTAATTTAAATTATAATATGAGAATAGTTGGGAAATTATATTAAAAGCGTTTTAAGATTTCAAACACTATTAAATTAGTAAATAAATTGCTATATTTTCAGCCATAAATGCCATGAAAAGCATTTCTTTAATAAAGCGTATAATTGTTTCTCAGGAAAGGTATGCGAATTGAAAGCAATTTTTCGCTAATGAATATGTGATGACTGAAAATATTTAAGAATCGTTTTCTGGCATCAAATGATACTTTTTTCGGGAGAGTTGTCTCTCATTCATAAGGTTTTTATTGGGCGAGTATTCTATGCATTATTTGATTCAAATGTCTGTAATTTAGTCCTTCTATTGCTCTCTCCCTCGATCTCAGGCTGAGAGCCGCGGGCGCTATACCTGACAATACAGTGAGTTATTTTAGAAGTCATTTTTCCCCCACTCCTACATAAGTGATGCCTTTCTCCGATGCCTCCAGTTATTCACACCAAACACAGCACGCATTATATGCTCTCTATTGTAGTCATAATCACAATATACATACACTAATATACACTACTAGTATACAGTAGAATACAGTATATTATACTCAAAATATAAACTTCTCTACACTTTTAGACAACACTAAACAAAAGACAATTTGATTTTTTCTTCTCATTGACAGGCATTGCATTCTAAAGCCAACAAATTTTTCATATATTCCCTGAATTTTTATAAAGATTTAAATATATTACGATCGGTCGGAGTTTTCCCGCTTATAACCCCCGGTCTGTCATAGACTCAGCGCTGAGAGAGAGAGAGAGAGAGAGAGAACACATGCAAACTTTGCATTACATTCATTGCATAATAATTCTTGAAATCGAGAGATAAGTTATAGATTTGTTGCAAATGGAATCGAAAAATTGCTTAAAATTGTTTGCTTACATGTGAACATATAATGAAAATATCTTATGGTAATATGCAATATAACTTATAATTATTATTTGTAAATAACTTATAATTTATAAATTGTTGCAAATGTGACGAAATTATATAATCAATAAAATTACAAATGAAATGATTGAATGCATACCTGATTGACATCGTTGTGAAGTTTTATCACTTGTTTTTCACACAAAATATTCCATAATTTGAAAATTGAAACAAATGTTGAAACAAAAGATCGATATATAAAAATAATACATACACTAATATACACTACTAGTATACAGTAGAATACAGTATATTATACTCAAAATATAAACTTCTCTACACTTTTAGACAACACTAAACAAAAGACAATTTGATTTTTTCTTCTCATTGACAGACATTGCATTCTAAAGCCAACAAATTTTTCATATATTCCCTGAATTTTTATAAAGATTTAAATATATTACGATCGGTCGGAGTTTTCCCGCTTATAACCCCCGGTCTGTCATAGACGTAACGCTGAGAGAGAGAGAGAGAGAGAGAGAGAGAACACATGCAAACTTTGCATTACATTCATTGCATAATAATTCTTGAAATCAAGAGATAAGTTATAGATTTCTTGCAAATGGAATCGAAAAATTGTCTTTTGTAAAATTGTTTGCTTACATGTGAAAATATAATGAAAATATCTTATGGTAATATGCAATATAACTTATAATTATTATTTGTAAATAACTTATAATTTATAAATTGTTGCAAATGTGACGAAATTATATAATCAATAAAATAATAATATGAAATGATTGAATGCATACCTGATTGACATCGTTGTGAAGTTTTATCACTTGTTTTTCACACAAAATATTCCATAATTTGAAAATTGAAACAAATGTTGAAACAAAAGATCGATATATAAAAATACTCCGATATATTGTCTGTGGTTTAAGACTAACGTTGGAGTGAATGAACAGAATTAAGCGAAAATGTATTCTGAAGACTGAGTCTCATGAAGATTGGGTGCTTTGGATGGTAAGTGCCGTTTGGATGCGGGACAGCCCACTATAGCCACACTACAGCCCACTTTGACGCACACATCTCCTCATCCAATGCCAGTCAATCCATGCGAATAACAATTCTCTCGGTTTCTCTCTTCTCTTCCACTCCGAAAGCTTTTTCACTTAATTATCAAATCATTTAATTTTTCCCAATATTTTACTATTAGTAATATATTCCGAGTGTTGTATGTGTTGTATGTATAGTAATGTATAATCGCTTATTTTTTGCTTCATTTTATAGCTCCGGCTCATTGTCTGTCTGTCTGTCTGCCTATTCCTCCGCTTTAAAAAAACAAATATTTCTTAAACTTTCCATAATTGCAAATCTCATTAAAATTATTTCTTTGTTTTATGGATTATATTTTTACATTATTACTACCATTACTAACATTCACTTTACCATTTATTTCATAATTTTTTAATTATTATTAAAATTAAAACAGAGAGAGAGAGAGAGAGAGAGAGAGAGAATTGTTATTCGCATGGATTGACTGGCATTGGATGAGGAGATGTGTGCGTCAAAGTGGGCTGTAGTGTGGCTATAGTGGGCTGTCCCGCATCCAAACGGCACTTACAATATATTACGATCGGTCGGAGTTTTCCCGCTTATAACCCCCGGTCTGTCATAGACTCAGCGCTGAGAGAGAGAGAGAGAGAGAGAGAGAGAGAGAGAGAATGTATTAATAAACCTAATATTTTTCTTACAATAGTTTTTGTTAATAAATATTAGAATAAATAAGAGAAATACAAAAACATAAATGACATTTTAACAAAAAATGCTATTTTATTGGCAAACATTTATAATTTAACTTTAAACTAGTTGTCCAACAATATCTGTTTTTCATATTAATAATCAATAATTTAAATATTTATAACACGATTTGTGCGTTAGGGTAACAAATAGCGCAATATTTGTGACACTTTGTCTTATATGTAATTTTAAACATAATTTTGATAAAATTTTAAAACTTTTAATTTAACTATTATTTCACAAAAACAAAACAAAGAAAATTTTAAAATAATTTCATTTCAATTAATATATAATATAACTGTTTGGTTGAGTCCATAAGACTTTGCATAAACTTTGAGGAATGTCAACAGATTTGATAATTTCTATTACAATATAAGTTATAATATTGTTATTTTTACTTTTTTGTTAGCTCTTTGTTCACAATTATTACAATTATAACCGGGAATGAGGTCTGAAAAGACGGTTGTGTTGAGGGGTTTGTGAATCAATGTTTGTGCGAAATCGTTATAAAATATTTTATAAGGAAAAAACGAAACGAAAACAAATAATAATAATTTAAACAAAACAATTGTGTCGTTAAAAAATTTAGTGGAAAAAACTAAATTCTCTATTAATTCAATGGAACTGAAAATTAAACACTTTTGCGAGAAAATCTTCAATTATTAAATCACTTGTAACTGATTTGAGTCGCAATCGACAAACTTGGAAATGATATCATCGACTTCTGGCGGTAATTTCAACAATAATGGATCCGGAAATTCTGTTAAATACATAGAAATAAAGATCTTTATAATATACAGTACATTGAATTGCATGTGATTTACCAAAGCGGCCAAAAAATGTGGGTGAAATGGGTAGTGAGCTCTTGAGGTCGAGACTTTCCAAATGAGTGTATGGCTTGAATTGATTAAAGGGTTTGACTTTGGCTTTAATAGTTTGGGACAGATTAGGAGAACTCATTCGCCGAATATTCTTATTATAAGGAGATTCTGGCGTTAATAGTGTTTTTGTTTTGTTTTTGGGCAAATCCATGAGTTTATCGCTCGTTTCATTATTGGTATCATTGGACTGAATGTTCTCACTATTCGGATCATCGGTTGTTTGAGTTTGCATTACATCCAAATTGGTGTCCAATACTGCAGTCTTGTCTTCAAGGGAACCGGTGTTTAAATTGTTGTCCGTTTCAGTGTCTAAATTAACGGGCGATACACTGAAACGACCCGATTGTTTGTGTGTATCACAGGTTGAGCCCCACGAGCCTAAGCTCACAGTTCTTGCAATTGGTTTGTGGTATCCATGGGTTAAACTCTCTTGAATTGAAATAATATCTGGCTTACAAGAGGTCTGAGGAGTGGAACCATTTATTGCATGTGATATCAGATCGGGTTTCATCTCATTCTCATTCCTGTAACCAACCCTTTGAGAAGTTCCCGATTCTGATGAGTTATCAGCATTGGTCTCATCCCTTAAATCACAAATCATTGCTTCAGTTGTGAATATATTATCCAACGGATCGTCAGTCGAGTCAAAATCACTGAGAGATTCGATATACTATTGAAATCAAAAATAATTCATTTAATTATATGCATTAAATCATAAGTGTTTGCCTCACAAACCGATTGTAATAATTCATTGGACTCTTCGTGAACGGCATTTGATTTATTGGAATCGCAATACAGTTTCAATTCTTGCATTAAGCCCTCAAAACTTTGTACTTTTTCTTCGCACTTCTCTTCAGTGAATTCAAAATCTTGAGATATTCTTAACTCAACGACACTTGTGTTTTGTTTCATTGATAGACAGATAGCCATAAGACCTGAGAGTTTAATGTAATTGTCCATCAAATCAATAATAATTAACTTTTGGTTGTCTGCAATCACTTCTGCAATGGCTATCGTTCCTATGGTTATCACACGTTATAAAATGCGAGTTAATATACTATACATCCATTAAAAGTAAAGTGCATTGAAATCAATTAATGATTACCTTCATCAGTAATATTGGTTGCCTTGAGGTTTAAATATTTGAGTTCTTTGCATGAAAGTAGTCCTTCTTTAAGGATACAAACGCCATCGTTGGACAATCCATTGTCTGATAAGTCGAGTCCAATCAGTGACCGACACATAGTCTGTAAAAGTAAATATTTGTTAATAAATGTGAAACCAGTCGTACATGTCTTGAGGTACCAAAGCTTGTGACAAATGATTCATCGCTCGACTCGTTATTTGATTATCTGATAGATTGAGAATTTTGAGGCCTCCGTACGGCTGATGAGACAATCCCTCGCATATATGGTCGAGACCTATGTCTTGGATATGATTCCTCCTCAGGTCGAGGACATCGAGACAAGCGTTCGCGCGAAGAAGATTCCCGATTTGGACGCCATCTGCGGAACATATCTTATTGTCTCCCAAATAAAGTTCTCTTAGGTTTGTATTGAGCTTAAGGGCGGCCACTATTGTTTCAAACATGAATTAATCGTTAATTTCAAACCACTGGTTGTGAGATGTGACTAATTTACCTAATATTGCAAGTCTTCTACCATAGAGTCCGGCGTTTTCTAAATGTATGGCAACTAAATGAGAGCCCAAACGCATCGCACGACCCATTATTAGAAGTATTTGTTCATTGAGTCCCGTATTGCGAAGATTGAGGTATTGTAGACATGAGGTCTGCCGTTAGGACACATCCGTCAGATCAGAGCACATACGAGAAATAGTTGTTGAATGAGACTTACCTTTTTGAGAGTTCGGCACAACGACTGCCATCCCATCACTCCAATCGACTTATTGTTAGCCAAACATAAATGAGACGCCGATTCGTAGAACTCGATCATATCGAAGAGGGCCGACGCTCCCTATGGCACAGACATGGCATCAACTCTACTCATAATGTCAAATGTCATCCAATACTAGACATACCTCACAGTCTAAATCACATGAATCCAAATCAATAGTTCTGAACAAAACTCGCTTTAATATCTCTTCCAATGCTTCACAATGTCTTGAGTCGAGCCGTTCTCCTATTTATGCAAATAATGTCCAATTATTGTTTTAAATTATACCATATTTTATATTTGTGTAACTCATAAAAATTCATAATTCATATTTAAGTTAATATATTTGCATAAATTTGGCAATTTTGAATAAAATTAATGTTTTTTATTGATTAGCTATAGTCTATACAATAATATACAAGATTATATATTTTGAGATGTTTGAAATGAGAAGTAATTTTTAGTACATTTTAGTGCAGCCTTTATACAAGTGTAGCTCTTTTAAATTGAATATAAAATCAAATTTTGTCCCGTAATGTGTTAAGTCTTGTTATTCTGTATTTCAAATCGTTATAATCACAATCTCTTACAAATACCATAAATTAGTTCATTCCTAATGTCTAACATAATTGGCATTCAAATAGTAATTATTGTCTAAGTTGTACATCATTTGTGATTATTTTTAGAGTACATTATTTACATTATATTAAATAAAATAACATAATATTCACAATTTACGACTTTTGCTTTGACATAGAAATGTATGCAAATGTCATGTATTTATTATACATTAGACTTATTATAACTTAAGCACATCTCCCGGGAGTTAATGTTTTGTAAGACTTCTTGATTACTGTGTTTGCATGCGGTGTAAGAAATGCTTGACATTACCTTTGAGGATGAGATCCTGGCCCCGCATTTTGTTGCATCGAAACCTCTATTATCAACGAAATTAATTTTGGCATTTAGTACGAGTTAATTCAATTTATTCATTACACGTGTCAAGTGTAGAGAATATATGTATCATTTAATTAACACTGAATACAGACATTTCATTCACAATTATATTCAATATATAAGAGTTGTAAACATATATTCTTACCTTTAATTGTTGAAGAACTCGAGGAATGGGTTTAATATTTTGTTTCTCACACGCGATTTGATACGAATCGATGAGATTTTCCAGCGTTTGAGTTTCAGACACTACAAATATTTTCAAAAACTATTATTAGAGTACTTCTTAATCAATCATTTAGTTTGTAGTTTATAAATAACAAAATATTTCATTTATAAATGTTCTCGCTTTAAAAATATCAATAATTTTAAGTAATTTCATAAACTTATTCAACATTTATATTTATTGTATAATATTAATATGTGTAATATTATTGACTAATAATTTAATTCAGTAGAATGAATAAGGCAACAAAATTCCGAATGCAGTATATTTATAATATAAAGGTACCAAGTAAATAAATTTAGTAGAATCAAATTATATAAAGTTAATGTACCCGTAAAACAATTTCAATATAACAAAATATAATACATTGTAACTTAATTGATGTAAATTAAAATATTTAATATTAATATACAAAAATATATACATGTATCTGTATATAAAGATTTACAAATCACAAGTAAATTATGCACTCAAAGCATTGTAATAATAAAATAAATGCTATAAAATGTTAATTTTAGATTTACAATAATTTCATATTATTCTTGCAAAAATGTTAGCCAAGAATAATATTCTGTTCATATATACAATATGTACTATATATAAAATCTGTATTCATGTACAAAATCATATTGGATTCACTTATACTGTATGCATCGATCGTTATAATCAATTTGTTTATTATTAAATAAAACAAATCAAAATAAGTGCAATATTTAATCTGCAATAAATCATATCATTTATATTATGATATATTTGAATATCGACGCAAAATGTGACAATCGATACAATGAAATGCATTCGTTAATTGATGAAAGGGTGGGCGCCTTATAAACATGGTTCTGGTCTTCACTATTAATTTGATGTTCAAATGCTATTGAAATATGACAGCAATCAAGAGCGCAATTAACCGTAATGTATAATCAACTATACGATTGTAGCTATATTTGTGTGATTAATAGTGTATGATATGTTCCCTATACACACATCATTACAAATTGTCTTCTTATTAAGTAATTTTGTTTAAATTATGACAAAAAATATATTATTTTACATTTTCATAAAAGTCTATATTTTACGCATTGACCCAAATATGGAAAAATATATCATTCAGTAGTTTATCAAATAAATTAGTAAAACACGCGACAAATATATACTATATTTTGAGAAAAATAAATCGCTTTCAATATATTGTTTAAATAAAATAAATATTTTCGTTTAATCTTTTCATTAAACGACAATCGATTTGCAGCATAACATGCGCTCAACTCTGTATGCATTCAAATTAAATGAGTTTTTAATTTAAATTCTATAGAATTTCAAATATTTTATAAGTTATTTATATTTAACTCCTTATATGAAATCGAAAGTAATATATTATATTTTATATGTTTAAATTAATTTTTATTTAATTAATAAATATGATAAATATTAAAGATAAATAAAAATATTTAATTAATTGAATTATAACAAAATAGTATAAATATTCACAACTCGTTAGAATAAAAAGCAAATAAAATGTTAGAATTTGTTTATCATTATACAGTATATAGCAAACTAAACATTTCAAATTTAACATGATTTTCTACTTATACCATATACTATATCAAAATCGATTATTAATCCACGTATATTAAAAATAACATATAATTAATCTAGAAATATAAAATAATAGTTAATTCATAACATGCGCTACGAATTAAATAAATTCATTCATAATAATAAAAACAATAATAATTATAATATCATAAATTAAAAGTATAATAATAGTTGTAACAAAAGTCAATACAGTATAATAAACTATTATTAATTGTATAAAATACCACTCAAACACTCAACACATGTAAATCTCCTTTTAAACAGAGATAACACAAACATCTCCTTAAAAATTAATCAACGAATTGAAATTAAATATCCGTTATTTTCATGACAATTGTCTGACAACTAATTCTCTCATTATTATGTCTGTTATAGTATTCTTTTACAATCAAATTGTAATAAAATGAACACATTTTTGTATTGAGTTTACAATTATAATATTAACGTATAAAACAAACAATTCATTCGGAATATAGGTATGAATTGTATGCAAAGGAATGATAAATTCATTCATTCAATAAATATATGGAATATCGCTGTATAACTGTAACAGTGATTGACATTTAATTATCTATAATCGAGACATCATTTGAATATTGTGTGACATTTTATGGCCTTTCATAGCCTTTCAAACTACTGTATATAAAGCCCTAAATTTACACAAATACAGGCTATTTATATGACCACAAGTAGTCATTATAGAGTATAATATAATTCTTGTATAAATATTTGCATGATTTTTAGGATACAAAATGAATTTTATGACACTTTTAGAGCACAATATTCATCGCAAGTCTACTCAGGAATCCAATTATAAACGACAGATGCGATCATCTATTTGTTATGATAAGACATTATTATACATGTAATTAATTCTCATTACAATTGGTTCTCATATCTCTAGTGCTTAAATATCTAATCAATAAAAGGTGTGATTTTATTAAAAACATAACTGATTGTAACGATTGTTTACAATTAAAAACACTTTAGAGACAAATCACTGATTATACACCTATTTAGGCACTCGTCTTATCCATCACTCATTGAGATATTTTATGATCAAAGAAAACAGCCTTAAAAATAAATTTAACAAAATTAGTCAACAATATAGCCAATGATGTGCTCTTATAAGTGCTGTTATATGTGGTGCGCTTACTGTCGGCCGAGAATCAGTGTTCACAGTCAAGCAATTGACCAATCATTTCGTTTTAAACAATTCATCTCTCAGGTGTGTCTCCTGTGATCATTCAATTGAATGGTCAGTTGTAACACATTATGTATTAATGTGTCCAATAAATGGCTTCATAATTGGTTTAACTGAATACCTCAACATTGAATAGTAGTGCCGATATAGGGGTGTATTTGTTAGCAAAACTAGTTAATACACTTAAATTGGTTATTTAAATAAAAATATAGATTAGATAATTAGTCAAATATTTTGAGAAATAATGTAATTGTATTTGGATTGAAATGAGAGCACAGGTATGTATTGTCTAGGAATGAAGTGTGAGAAAGAGTTATCACTTTAATTGCATTACACTCTCATTGTTTAGATAAGGGTTTAGCATCTCATTAGATGCAATACTTTTGCACCATTTATTCAAACCCTTAACATAATTATAATAAAATAATTAATTCGCTATTATTTGCAATACATGTATAAAATTTGTTTCATTGGTGACAAATCCATTGGATTAAAGAGATTACACAATTAATTACAAACAAACAATACATTTGAGTAATAATTAATGCAATTCCTAACTCTCGACACACAATATATTATATCAAATCATTAAATTTTAATATATTGTTAGATACATATATGTTTGTACATAGGATTCTCTCCAAATGCCTAACATATAATATATGCATAAAATATCGATCAAAATATAATGCTTTAAATCATAATTAATTCATAAGAAATGCACTTTTGATTTCAAAGTAAGTGAATATCTGATTGTATGATTGCATACCGTATTGATAAGGGTTGGGGGCATCGAAATAACCGGTCACTATCTGGTGGTCTTCGGGAAACTGGACCCTATGGTGACCTCTTTGGTGGCCGCGATTGAGACAACCCATGTTAGCGGACAGCGGTCTGGACTGAGAGGTGGGTGTTGTGGGCGCCGACTGAGACTTGAATGCCGTCTCATCCCTGGCCTCCACTCTCTCGTCAATGCATTCACTCATTTCAATCATTGTCTCCATTCAGATGAATGTCCAATCACTTCCAGATCACAAGCACTTCACTTACGGCCAGATTGTGTCCAACAGATTGTGGCCAACGATTCAATGGTATTGTGAGCTCACTTTGATTGTGGTCTTAATTGTGTTAAACATAACAAACACTCATATATTGAATCCAAATATTGATCACTAGATAAGGGTGTCTAGTCTTATGGCTGGAACCGTTGCTTGCATTCACATGTGTGGACAATATGGACAATGAGGACAATGCGGACGATGTGGAGGAATGGATGTCGGGATGGACTCAGGGTCTGGACATCCCTTCCATCACATAAAGGGTTGTTGTGTTGTATTGAAAGACAATAACTATAAGAAAGTATAAGACTATAAGACTATGCATTCATTGAGTCATTCATTCATTTGGTATACTTTTTTGATCCCAATTTCAGTACTCAATACTCAATACAAGTGAGAGTTTGCGTAATAATAGCAATGCATATACTGTAGAGTCTGCACAGTCTGTACACTCAATGTACACTCAATTCAACGATTATCACAATACTAACAGTGAATTGACTGAAAGGCACTCATCAATTGCCATACATTGCCATACATTCACACAATCATTAAATCAATCATTTAGTACTCAATTAACTTCTCGTCTAAATTGAATTATAAATCGCAACAACACTCCTATACTCTGAGCAAATGTGAGACATTGTTTTACATTGGATCCCAAATGTCATTAACATATCCTTATTATAAGTTGGCTTTAATTTTGCAATTTTATTGATTCTTGCATTTTATAATTGAATTTCATTTTTAGAAATGGAAAGTTTGGAAAAATTGAAAGTTTATTAAAATTGATTATTGACTGTCATATCAATTCAGTCGTAAGCAAAATGTGATCGAAAACTGCATTTAGTATTTAATCATTGATAAATTGTACCCAATATTTGTTGCACAGGTTTAATATATATGCAATCAATTAGTTATTGTATTAGTTTTGATGATATTTATGAAATAAACAAGATTCATTACTTGAATTGTTATTTAATATATAAATGTAATTAACAATAGAATTTTAACAGTAATACTATAAAAATATATTGCATTCATTTTAATGGTTTAATGAATTATCATATCAAATATATTCTCATAAGGATTATATTATAATTATATATATTTGATGTTTTAATTTCAATGTGCTCGTTAATACATAGAAATATTAAAGTATTTCAATTATAATTAACAATTTCAAGTGATCATTCATGCGGGTCAGCGCATCCCTATTATATATTAATACACAACTTTTTTTTATTGTTTCAAACATTTTCTCATCAAATATTAAACACATCTTTTTGACAATTTTTGTTTTTATTGCAAATAAAAGATTTTTATGTAATAATTGTATGCATTTTAATTTAGTTGTATCTTTTGTTTCATATACTGTAATAATATATTAAATATAACGTATTTACAGTTTATTAACAATTTTTTGATAAATGTTTAAACAATAAATTTTTTACCGGTTCTGCAAATAACTATTGAATTAGTTTTTATTTTTGACTGTAAAACAATTGAACACAAATTGCTTTTAATTTATTTAGTTTAGTTTAATGTGTGTTTTAAAAATAATAATTAAATGTATTTGAAAATAAAAATAACCAAGGTTAGTTATTTCGAAACATGACAATAATTTTTCTAACTGATTCATTTTCTACACAATAATTATATTTTAAAATTAAATTTTAAAGTCTCATTAGATTAAAGTTTAATTATTAAATAATTACAAGACATACATATTTATTCATTAAAAATAAATTTACAAATAACTAAATTAATAAATTTAATTAAATTACGAAACAAATAACGTAATAATAGTTGACGTAATTTGTGTGAGAAATATGCCTTTCATAACATAATGTGATTTCATTTATTGTTTCAATTGTTTGACAAAATAATTGAATAA